TTCAGAGGAAATGCTTATTGGAGCATTTCAGATTTCACATTTTTTGGATTAGAGATGCTGAACCGGAAGTATATAATGCAAATATTTCAAAATCCAAAAAACTCTGAAATCTGAAATACTTCTGTTTCCAAGGGTTTTGGATAAGTGATATTCAACCTGTACCATACTGTCTTAATTATTGTAGCATTATATTATATTAAATGCTCAAATCAGGTAGTGTGAGTCTTCCAGCTTTTTTCTTTTTCATAATGTTTTGGTTATTCTAGGTCCTTGGTATTTTCTTATAAATTATAGAGTCAGCTAGTCGATTTCTATGAAAAAGCCTGCAGGGGATTTGGTTTGAGATTGCATTGAATCTGTTCATCATTGATACACTAAAATATTGGGTCTTCTAATTCATTAATATGGTTTCTCTCTCCATTTATTTAGATCTTTTAAATTTTATTTCAGGAATGTTTTGTGGTTTTGAAGGGATAGGTCTTGCCCATATTTTGTTTAATTTAACCCTGAGTTTTATGTTCTTATAAGATAATATAAACGGGTTTGTGTGTGTATCACATAGTTGTTTTGCATTTCATTTTCCTATTGGTTGCTTCTAGTTTATAAAAGTGTAATTGATTTTTCTATATTTGTATCCTGGGACCTTTCTAAACTCACGTATTAGTGCTAGTAGCTCTTTTATAGATAGTTTGGCATTTTCTATGTAAACAATCACATAATTGTGAATAAGGGCAATTTATTTCTTTATTTCCAATCTGAGTGCTTTTACCTCTTTTTCTTGCCTTATTGTACTTAATGTCTAGGATCTTCAGTATAATGTTGACTAGGAGTAGAGAGGGCAACATACTTGCTTTGATCCTGATCTTAGGACAAAAGCATTCACTCTCTCACCATTAGGTATAATTTTACTTGTAGGTTTTTTCATAGATGGCCTGATAATGATTGAGGATGTTTCCTTCTTCTCCTGATTTTCTGAGAGTTTTTATCATGAATGATTGTTGCAAATGCTTTTTATGAATCAATTGATATGACTGTTTTTTCTCCTTTAGACTGTTGCGTCTTATGTAATTATTGGATTTAGGTCTATCATTTTATTATTTCCTTTTCTGTTTGTACTCCCCCAGCTTATTTTATTTTATTCTTGTTGTTCTGCTTCACCATTCTTCTCTTTTGAATATTTGACTGTTTTTTAAACAGTCTACTTTGAGATAATTGAAGATTCCCATGCACTTGCAAGAAATAATACAGAGAGAGCCCATGTACCGTTTACGCAGTTTCCCCCAGTGGTGACGTCTTGCAAAACTATACTGCAAATCACAAGCGTATTGACACTGAGAAAGTCAAGATACAGCACATTATTCCATTACCACGAGAATCCCTCATATTGCCATTTTATAGCCACACCCATTCCCTCCCACCCCCTACCCCTTCCTTAAACCCTGGAAACTAGTAATTTGTTCTCCATTTCTATAATTTTCTCATTTCAATAATATCGTATAAATGGGGGAAAACAGTATGATACCTTATGGGATTTGTTCTTTTCACTCAGCATAATTCTCTCGAGATTCATCCTGTTGTATGTACCAATTGTTTCTTCCTTTTTGTCACCGAGTAGTATTCGACCAAAGGGATATACCACAGTTTGTAAACCATTTATCCATTGAAGAACATTCCTGTTGTCAACTTCATTGATTTCTGTTCTAATCTTTATTCTTTTTCTTTTGTTTGATCTTTCTTCATTTCTAGTGTATGCATTCAGTGCTGTAAATATCCCTCCAAATGCTGCTTTGTGTCCCACAAATTATGACATGTTGCATTTTCATTTAATTAAAAATATTTTTAAATTTCCCTTAAGACTTATTTAGAAGTAAGTATATCTTTAAATTTCCAAATATTTGGGGTTTTCCAAGTTTCTTTCTCTTACTGATTTTTGGCTTAATAATGTTATTACACATAATATGATTTCTTATAAATTTCTTACAGTTTAAGACCCAGAATATGGTCTATCCTGATGAATGTTTCATATGCACTTGAAAAGAATGTATATTCTTCTGTTGTTAGATGCAGTGTTCTGTGCATTTCAATTAGGTGAAGTTGGTTGATGGTGCTGTTCAGATTATCCGTATCCTTGCTGGTTTTCTGTCTACTCATTCTATCAATTATTGAGAGAAAGAGTGTTGAAGTCTCCAACAATAATCGTGGATTTGTCTGTTTCTCTTTCAGATGTATCCATTTTTGCCTCATGTATTTTGAAGTGCTGTTATTAGGTACATACACTTTTAGGATTGTTATTTCTTCTCAGAGAATTAACTGTTTTATCATTTTGTAATGTCCCTCTTTGTCCGAGAAAATCTTTCTTATTCTGAAGTCATTGTCTGAAATTAATATAATTACTCCAGCTTTCTTTTGGTTAGGTTTTCATGGTTTATCTCCATCCCTTTATTTTTTTTAATACATAGGCTTTATTTTTAGTTTACTTTTAGATTTACAGAAAAATAGACCAACTAGTACAGAGAATTTCCTTATAGCCCTCTCTACTCACCTCCCCAGTTTCCCCTAATGGTAACATCTTACATTAGTGTGGTACATTGGTTACAGTTGATGAGTAAATATTGATAAATTATTATTAACTAAAGTCCACATTTTATACTAAGGTTCATGCTTTGTGTTGTTTAGTTCTATGGGCTTTGGCAAATGCATAAAAATCCACCATTACTATCGTGCAGAATACTTTCACTGCCTTAAAAATTCCTCTCTGCTTTACTTTGTCACCCTGTCTCCACCTTCCTGGCAAGCAGTGATCCTTTTACTAACTATATAGTTTTGCCTTTTCCAGAATGTCATATAGTTGGAATCATACAGTATGTAGCCTTTTACAGACTGGCTTCTTTCTAATAGCAACTTTAAGTTTCCTCCATGCCTAAGTGACATCTTTCTAGTTTCTATTTTACAAACAGAGATGTCCTTTGTGACTCCCAGCTTTAAGCAGGTAGCTCAGTTCTAATTCTGTACACATTGGTACCCTGTGGCCTGGAAGTCAATCCACACTCATGATTAGCACCTTAATCCCCTAACTGCAAAGCCACAGAGCTTCAATTTGTATTCATCCCTTCACTTTAAATTCCTTCTTCATTTTTGTCACATAATAAATTTCTTCTTGGTTTTAAGCTTGGCTGCATATTAAATTATTTTTGTTAAACTTGGGCCAGAATTTCCTTGTAGTTTCACCCAGGGGAGGTGGTGGTGGTGGGATTTGGGGAGGATCCATCCACATCAGCTCAAGTCATATTAATAGGAGTTCACCACAAGGCATTTAGGGGTTAATGTTATCCCATAACATTATAGTAGAAAGACTTATAATACGTTTGATGATTCATTGCATTTTTTTTCTAGAAGTCTGGCAAGTTGATGAGCAGATAGATCACTACAAGGAAAGCCAAGACAAACCTCTGTGGCAAGCCGCATTCATAGACAAGGAAACAGTGAAAGATGAAAGTGGTCAAGAATGTAGGACATGTAGAAAAATCATTTATCTGAGCACAGACTTTGTTTCTATAAGACAAAGACTCCCTAAATATTACTCATGGGGAAGGTGTTCAAACCATAATTTAAACTTTCTTAGTCAAAATAGAAACTATGTAAGAAAGAAAGAGGATGGATATAAGGCATATTGGAAATTATGCCTCCATTCTAATCTTGATAAAGCTCAGCCTGCAGAGAAAATTTTTGACCCTAAGCAACGAGCAAAAGCCCTCCACCATAAGCGAGCCCTTGATAAAAGTCAGAGAATTCAGAGTGGGGAGAAACTCTATGAATGTACTGAATGTGGAAAAGTGTTTATCCAGAAAGCAAACCTTATTGTACATCAGAGAACTCACACTGGAGAGAAGCCTTATGAATGCTGTGAATGTGCAAAAGCCTTCAGCCAGAAGTCAACCCTCATAGCACACCAGAGAACTCATACGGGGGAGAAGCCCTATGAGTGCAGTGAATGTGGGAAAACCTTTATTCAGAAGTCAACTCTGATTAAGCATCAGCGAACACATACGGGAGAGAAACCATTTGCATGTGGCAAATGCGCAAAAGCTTTTAAGAGTTCATATCACCTTATTAGACATGAGAAAACACACAACAGACAAGCATTTTATAAAGGTATTAAATGTGCTAAGTTCAACTTTATATATCGAAATACTGATATGGGTGAGAAACCTGGGCGCAGTAAACGTGGGAAAGCCTTTGAAGAGAAGCCTACCACCCCCATTAAACATCAGAAAACTCATACAAAAGAGAAAGGTTATGAGTGTAGTAAATGTGGGAAAAGATTTAGGGGAAAGTCACACCTCTCTGTTCATCAGAGGATTCATACAGGAGAGAAACCTTATAAATGCAGCATATGTGGGAAGACTTTCAGTGGAAAATCACACCTCTCTGTCCATCATAGAACTCATACAGGAGAGAAGCCCTATGAATGCAGAAGATGTGGGAAAGCCTTTGGTGAGAAGTCAACCCTTATTGTACATCAGAGAACACATACAGGAGAGAAACCCTATAAATGCAATGAATGTGGGAAAGCCTTCAGTGAAAAGTCACCGCTGATTAAACATCAGAGAATTCATACAGGTGAGAGACCCTATAAATGCAGTGACTGCGGAAAAGCCTTCAGTAGGAAGTCAACTCTCATTAAACATCATAGAATTCATACAGGAGAAAAACCCTACAAATGTAGTGAATGCGGGAAAGCCTTCAGTGTGAAATCAACTCTCATTGTACATCACAGAATTCATACAGGAGAGAAACCTTATGAATGCAGAGACTGTGGGAAAGCCTTCAGTGGGAAGTCAACTCTCATTAAACATCAGAGAAGTCATACAGAAAATAAAACCTATAAGTATACTTGAGACTGGGATAATTTTACAAGTAGTTATACCTCATTATATATCAAATAATTCATCCTGAGGAGTAACCTTCAAATATCCGGAATGTCAACTCTTCATATATTGTTACTGTTCATTTTACTTAATATAAAGCACAAAAGTATAACTTCAGAGGCGTGCAATAAATGTGATCAATTTTTCACCCAGACTTCTTTACTATGGAGAAAGAACTATATATCAAAGAATTAAAAATGGCCAACACTGAGTGTACTGACATGGAAAAGCCTTTAGAAAGAATTTAAGTGTCATTGCCTATCAGTATTTATGCTGGAGAAAAACTAAGAATTTAGTGAGCTTAGAAAACCATGTTAGAAATTATTAGAGGAATCATGTTCCATATTCTTTACCAAACATTTTGTGGAAAAGGTATAGAGATGGCAAAGCAGCACTCAATTATAAATTTTAAGATACGTTCACTGTGGAGTAGAGTATGACATTTTTTAAAGAACAGTATAAAGCAGAAAATATCCTAGGTGGGACAAATTCCCAGGTTATTTTCTTAAACAAATAGAAAAATTGCTTCTTTAAGTAAGGTGAGGGGGAATGAGTCATCAGAATCCCTGAAACAAAGGATCTCAGACAGAAGACCTTATACATACTACCCATCAATATATATTCAGTGCAGAAATGTAAACCCATTACAGGAAAGGTATATTGTAAGCTTTGACACACCTCCCTAGGAACAGCACTTAGAAGTTAATGTACTCTGTCTTTTAAGAAAGAGTAATTCTTTTATGGTGAGGCAGTAAAGATTTTTAATTTGCAGAGAACTTTTTATAAGAGCAGTATTATTTAAATTAGTGAAAAAAATTTAATACCCAATGATGATTGATTAAAAATTGGTATGTCAGTTAGGTGAAATAAAATGCACCAATTAAGACTTTATTTGAGGATTTGGAAAAATGTTCATGGTAAATCATTACATGAGAAAACATTATAACACAATATATCATGTGTTTTATGTTGTAAAAACAGAGGAAGGATATGCACTATTATATCAGTGATTCTGGGTGACAGAAATATGGAAATCTTATGAGCAACATGCACATATATGTATAAGTATAAATTTGTATTATATCTATTTTTGGTGTGTGTGTGTACGTGTGCGTGTATAGATAAATACATAGAGCAAAAAGCTAGGAAGGAAATAACACCACGTTATTAAGTAAGTTAACATTTGGTTGTGGGGATTATTGATGTTTAAAAAATGTTTTTAATCTAGTCTCTAGAAACTACCAATAAAATATATTGTTTAATCTTGTGTATGTTTGATCATTCTGTCTTCCCACCCATTTTCCTATTCAGATTTGTCTTTAATATTTGACATCATTCTCTTCTTTAAAATGACCCCATTTTCACATATGTATATTGCCTATTTTCTATGTGATTGTCTAGTCCTGTGGTTCTGTGGTTTTGACTGTGTACATTTGATCCTGGAACAACATGGGTTTGAACTGTCTGAGTCCACTTATATTTTCTTCCACCTCTGCCACCCCCGGACAGCAAGATCAACCTCTCCTCTTCCTTCTCTTCCTCAGCCTAGTCAATATGAATACAATGAGGATGAAAACCTTTATGATGACTCACTTCTACTTAATGAACAGTAAATATATTTTCCCTTCCTTATGATTTTCTTAACATTTTCTTTGGCTTGCTTTATTGTAATAATACAGTATATGATACATATACAAAATATGTGTCAATTGACTCTTTATTGACAAGGCTTCCAGTCAACAGTAGGTGATTAGGAGCTCAGTTTTGGGGGAGTCAAAAGTTATATGCATATTTTCAACTGTGTGGGACAGAGGTTGGCACCCCTTCTGTGTTGTTCAAGGGTCAACTATATTTTGCATCTTGAGAATTAGTATCCTGATTTTATCATCTGTGATTTTTCTGATACAAATAAATGCATCTCCAAAATATTTTACTCTCTAACCACCAAATTCTGTGACATAAGTTATCAGTTAACAAAGTTTACGGGTAAGAGATGTAGTGGATTGTTAATTGTACCACAAATAATAAGACAAAACCGACTTTTGGAAAAAAGCTTTTTTCACTGTGATGTTTTTGAGTGCTACTGAATGCTCATACTCCCTCTCATCCCTGTCCTTTTGTTAGTAGTTTTGGAAGATATCGTAGGTGACCCTCAATGATTTATGTCCTATATAACCCCCTCCCTTGTGGGCAGAACTGAGACTGCTTCTAGCCAATAGATTATGGCAAAGATGATGGGATGTCACTCCCATGACTATGTTACATTATATATTTATCCATCTTAGCAGACTGAAGAGAGACTGTCCTTTTTGGTCTGATGAAGTAAGCAGCCATGTTGAAGAAGCAAGGAACTGCAGCTGGCTTCTAGTACCCGAGAGAGCCCTGAGCTAAGACAGGACTTGAGTGGCAAGATCCTAGAGACAAGAGAAATGAAGAGAAACAAGTCCAATACACTGAGTTACTTGTCCCTGCAAGGAGTCCACTAATTGGTAAATGGCTTGGAACAGATTTGGAGGGGCAGAGCTTTCAACAGAATTATGTGCCAAGGAAATCAAACTTGAGAGTTCAGATTCCACCAGAGATGGTGGGCCCTGGTAAATACCACAGGCTTTCAGTTGGAACCTTTGAAGGACTTTACCTAGGAATTAGTAAATATAGACCAGATCTTAAAATGATTGATAGCCCACCTTGAATTAGCTCACTAGCTAACCAAATTAAGGTAATTTGTCCCTACTGTAATTGTCTTCAGAAACTAAAGTTCATCTAGAGGTTCCACAATTTCTCATACATAGTATTCAATCAAAAATTGCCAGGCATATGCAGAGTCAGGAGAAAAAAGTGGCCAGTAGAAGAAGACCCACAGGTAATTCCAATATAGGAGTTACACGTCATGGACTTTAAAATAACTGAATAATGTGATCAAGAAAATTTTTTATAAAATTCATCAGAAATGTGAATTATTTCCAATAATTATTCACTTTTCTGCTTAGTTTTAAGTTCTCTTGGAGTTTCTAACTGCTCTTTTTTCCTTATTTGTTATTCTAGGGTCTCAAACGTGCCATCTAATCTATGGAATTTTCCTTCTCTCTGGCATTAGAATTCTGAATATGTATTAACTTTGAGGTGCAGGACCGGGTAAGAGCAAAGAGACTGGGCCAATAGCAAGCTAGAAACTTTATCTAAATAAGTTATCTGCAGAAGATACTGCTTTGCTCCAAAATCCTAATAGACTGTATTGTGACTCACACAGGGGTTTCCAAAGGCTTTTCCATACATCATTTCTATCTGCCACAGGTACTTTAAACTATATATTTATTACATGCTAGGTCATATCGGCCAAGAGGCAGTGTGCATGACTGATCAGACCTAGTAAAAGTGTATTCTTGCTCTGGGCCACACTGAAAATTGGCAGCTTTGTGGGTTATTCAGCAAATAGACTGGAGCAACATGAACAAATAAGGTTTATGGTGCCTAACACAAGGAATCGTTTCTCAAAAGTAGTATAAATCTCTGTTGCAGATTCCGTGGCTTTGCTCTAAAATCACAACGATGTCCTCACATTTTTCTCACTGCTGATACCTTCGACACCAGAAGGTCAGCCAGATCATATGAACTAAGTGATAAGGCTGCGTGCACTACAGCCTGAACTTGCTGCAGAGACTTTCCTCCTCTAGGCCCTGCTCAAAGCTGGCAGCCTTCTGTGTCTCCCAGTATATGGGCCAAAGAAACATTTCTAGGTGTGGACTATGTTACCTCCAGATCCTAAGAACACCCCTCTGCTCCCCCCACAGCGCTGACTCCCCTCACCTGCACAAGCACAACAACTGCATGGCCGAGTGCCTCACCCCTGCCATCTACACCAAGCTCCACAACAAGGTGACACCAAATGGCTACACCCTGGACCAGTGCATCCAGACAGGAGTGGACAACCCTGGCAACCCCTTCATAAAGACTCTGGGCATGGTAGCTGGAGACAAGGAGTCCTATGAGGTAAAACTATCGGCTACTGGTTCTGCGGTGTGGGGTGGGGGATGCTGAGATGGTTGAAGTGCACAGTCCCAGAGTCCTTCTCTTCTCTGTGGAAGCCAGCTCCAGCAGAACCATCTGGAATGCTTTCTGGAACAACGAGGTCTACAGCTTCCCAGGGATAAGGTTTCTTTTGCTGCCGCCCTATTATCCCTCCCCATGGAGGAATGAATTGCATGACAGAGCTCTCTGAGCCTGTCAAAGGGATATGTTGGCACAGAAAACAAAATTCCAGTGTTATGTATTCACCAATAAGAAGTTAGGAGCAGGTGCGTTTGTGACTGAGCTTTATCGGGTGTGGGTTGGGAAGAGGGTTCGATGTGCCTTTAGTTTAGGAATTCTCTTCCTGTTACTGATTAGACAGCCACTGTAGCCCAGACTACTGAATTCACCAAGTCTCTTGGACAAATGCCATGATCTCAGCATCCTCATCCTTGGTGTAGAAGCACAAGATGATCTGGTGCTAGCAGAGCTCAGCCACCATGCACCCCTCTCCGCAGAGCAGCCTCTCCATCATGGCAAATGCCTGCAGCCCTCCTCCCTCAGGTCTACCCTCTTTGTGCACTTCTGTTGCAGGGAGCAGAAGGCAGTTCCCTGGGAAGGGAGCCACGGAGAGAAGAGAGGGAGCCATCTTCAATAAACAAGACTGGCAGCTCATTTATGTACAGCTCTGGGTCTGGTTTGGGACCAAACTAGAGCTGGCTCCCTCCCCACTTCCCACAGCTCCCAAAGACTGCAGGGTGCTCTGTTACGACTTCTCTTAACGTTCTTTTATAAAGGATATCCCTGAAGTTGTTTTGTTGTGTTTTTTTTAGAATAGATTTTGTACAAGACCGTTGGGGCTGGGGAAGGTCCTCACAAGGTGGGAGGTCCCTGCTTTGCCCTAACCGCTGCTGTGTACCTTTTCTTCTGGTGCAGCTGGGTTTTTGATGAATTTAATGTCGCTCAAACTTTAGAATCTGACCTTCTCTTTTGAGCATAAAACTGCTTAGCCTCTGATATGGCAGCTGCTTTTATCCCGCTAAAGCAAAAACTTGTAGGAAACCCCTCAAATTCTTAACCGCAAGATTCTCTTAGTCTGATGGCAGTGAGTTTGGCAGAATCACTAGGGAGGAGGTTAAGATGACAGTTCAGCAGCCCTGCCCTCTCTCAAGGGGCAAGATGCCTCTAAAAGGTTTTCTTTGGTCAAAGTTTGCTGTTATTATTATCCACCGATCCATTCTCACACCCATTTCCTGCATGGCAGCACTGAGAATTTCAGAGAAGGAGGGCATCAACTTGGCCCTTAAGAT